GGCTCGACATGTTTATCAAAGCCACTTTTACTCATGAGCCCTCGGGAGCTCTGTCCTCGATCATTTCGAAAGGGATTACGTCCTGGGCCGGTGTTTCTACGATTTGCGCTGTATGGTTGATACCGATATCTGTTCGATCGAGGTTCCCTGTCGATGTCCCTTTGAATTCGACCGACGGACCTATTTGGGTAAACAGAACCAGAAGAAGTTCCCAATTGATCATCCTCGACCCTGATCTTTGACTGGTATCAATTATTTACATCGGCCCATGTTACAGCTGGATATTCAATTAAGTTCTACTTTAGTTGTCGTGATGCTATCAAACTTCGTTCATTCAAACCTTGAGTGAAAGCTTGAACAGCCCAATCATCTGTGACCGGGGATAGGTCCATGCGTTCCATCTGGAACCGAGATACGAATTCCCTTAACATTTCGTTGTCCTTTTGTCTCACCTTGAAGAGGTCCGATTTCCTAGTCGCAACCTTTATCGCTCCGACGTGTGCCCTCATGAAGGAATTGCAAGCATGCCGAAGGAGTCGATGGAATTGGGCGGCAAATTGTGGTACCATATCATTTCCCCTTTTCGTAAAGTTTCACCAAACTTTTTCAATAGTACGGATTCAATCTCGTCATCTTCTAAGTCATTCCCCTTTATTGTGCACGTATAAGAAGTGACATGTTCATTAGGGTCGGTGGTTCCATTGTATTTGGTAATTTCTGGCATGCGGAATTTTTCGGGATAGGCTTCGGAGACGCACTTTGAGGAAAGGCTTCTGGACGAACTTCTTCGAATCCAAACCCTTTAGAATCGGGGGTGCCCCCGGTATTTGGTCAACCCGTGAGTTGTATGTTTCTACCTTTTTGTCATTAGCCTCGATTTTCTTTTCACCTGATTCGATCCATTTAGCGAGCTCCTCAAGCATCTTCATAATGGCGGGGTCAGTCCCCGATTTATTGGCATTCGATTTCTCCGGTACAGGCTCGACTCTATGAACAACCTCTTGTGATGTTTCGAGCTCAATTCTGCTTGGTGCTCGATTCTGATTTTGGAGTTGCGCTATCGCAGCTTGTTACGAAAATTAATACCAGGCAATCACTATTATCCTTAGCCCCACGGTGGGGGCCAAACTTGTTTACCCTTAAAATTGGATAACAATTAAACTTATATTGTGGTTTTAAGGATACGTGATTTCACCTAATACCAATTGATAAATGCAAAGAGTAATAATAGAAATTAAGAATAATATAAAGCAAACCAGTGTTTGAACAGAATTCAGCCCTCGAGCTTGAATACCCTCGAACTAGTTTGTGCAAGAACAGTTAAAATGTAACAAGCTGATGAACAATAATATGAACTATAGAAAAGGTGTTACATTGCTTTTATATCTCACAGTGTAAGGTGTCTACAAAATGATCAGAACCCTCTTTATATAGTAGAGGAATCCTATCTACGGTACAATTCTAATTACGAAAGTAAATCCCATGATTAGCCTAAACAATCGCCCTTGATTTGATCTGTTCCGGGATTTCCGGCGTGATTTTCGACCGGTCACGGATATCTCGCTTTTCCGTTATTGCGCTTTGCTCGAAGTCTGTCATACTTGGTCTAGATCGTTGCTGGCCTCGATCTCGACAGGCACCTCGATCCTCGGACTCGATACCTTGTCTTCGTGCTCTGGTCTGATCTACTACGAGGCTGGCCTTCGATGCAAATTCCTAGCCTCAATCAAATAGTAAAATCGGATAGGCCCGGTTTTAACCGTATACAACCCTGTTACAAAGATGAGCAAATGTCTTCTTGGTCAAACTCTTGATTAACAAGAAACGTGTCTATATTCCATTTTTCTCTTGTAGCATTGCCTAAATTAGTGTGCTTTTTGGTACTTATAATTATTATAGCAATTACCCTATAGACAACTTTCAGCCACAAATACTTTCCAAACTTGGTGGCTTGCTGATAAGTAGTAATTTTGGACCAAAGAAATAATTTTTATCAGAAGTAGTGCATAAAGGACTGAACTTTTCCTCTCATCTGCAAACTGCACTAGAGGTCTAGAGCAAACACATTATGGATTCCATGCTGGTTTTTTCAAGCTTTGTAGTAGTTATTTTGCTGGCTATTTCACTCCAAGTTTTTTTCTTCTCACCAATATTCCCTGATATTCTTGAAATTCCTTCTTCCTCAAAATCCTTCACCACTACATTTACATCAAACAGCTATTTGCGGGTAACTTAAAAGAAAAAAAAGTTCCTTAACTTAATATTTTCTTACTTGCCTCTATCTATTTTATGGATTTTATTTATGTACGCTGTCAATGAATTTTAACTTAGTGATAGCATGTGATAATTATCATATTTATCAAATTCCCAATTAATGTTTAACAAAAGATTTATATGTAATTACCTATTAGGTGACCAGATTGTATGTACTATTATATTTTCGTGTGCGTAAAACACTAAAACTTAAAGTAATCCCTCTGTTTCAATTTAGATCAATTTAGATGACACACTTTACTTATTAGTTCATTTCAAAAAGAATGAAACATTTTTACAATTGAAAATAATTTAACTTTTAAATTCTTCATTTTACCCTCGTTGAGAAGCTTTTATAACCACACAAGTGTGATGGCGCTACAAAGCTTTTACTCCTTAAACTTTTAAAAGTCTTTTTTTTCTTCTTAAACTCTGTGCCGAATCAAACTACCTCATCTAAATTGAAACGGATGGAGTATTTTTTTTTTAACTGTGATGCTAAATGCTATATATGGACTGTTTTATGGTGGTGTTAATTTCAGAGGGTAAGTAAACTTGGAGAAGGGTATCTAGATAGACCAGAAGATGTGGCAGTGGACAAAATGGGAGTTTTATATACAGCTACTAGAGATGGTTGGATCAAAAGATTGAACAAGAATGGGACTTGGGAGAGTTGGAAGTATATTGGGAGTAATTCTTTACTAGGACTTACAGTATCAGCTGCTGGTCATGTCATTGTATGTGACGCTGACGAGGTAATTAATTTTGCAGCTTATTATTGTTAAACAAATGAATAGCTTGGCTAAGTAAAGATTGCCTAATAGATTTTGAAAATTTTAATATAGCACGTATATTAGATAGTCTTAGCGTTGCAATATGATATGCAACACACCTAAAGTTTCTAATAGGAACAATTGTATGATGTGCAGGGGTTACTTAAGGTTAGTGAAGATGGCGTAAGTGTTCTTGCTTCACATGTCAATGGTGAAAAAATAAGGTAAAAGATTTCACTTTTCTATCTTGAAATTCTCTGCCCATTGAGGCGAAGAGCAATATATATCTTATGATACTTGATGGAGCATGGCCTTTTTTTTCGAGTTGATATATTTTCAAAAAATAGGAATTCTTTACAAATTAAGTACACCATTCTGTAACTTCAATCCAACAAAGTTTCAGGAATGAACGATGCCTAACGAGTAAGGAAGAATTAATTCACAATATCACCATACGATATTTGTGTAATTTATTTATAGCATCCAAGATAATATGAACAATACAATATGCTCGTGGGACATAAGGTTCGAACTGTGGTTACAATATTAAATTAGTGCGTCGTTAGGCAAAGGTGACTATGCGCAGATGGGAGTCTTCCGTCCTCCACCAGCTTTGTTTGGAACAGAGTTTAAACTTGTGACATGCGCCTAATTAATTGACACATCTATGTGTTGTGTCCTTACCAATGAACCAAAGCCCTGAGGGATGGTTTATATGATGCTGTTAGCAGCAAAATTATAAAATTTCTCTGGATCCTAATGTCCATCAATTATAAATTTTTAATGAAAATCCATTTCAAGATAAAAGTTAGAGTGTGTACAGATTTGCAGATGATGTGGTGGAAGCATCAGATGGGAGTCTATACTTCAGTGTCGCAAGCACCAAATTTGGACTCCACGAATGGTACCTTGACGTGCTTGAAGCCAAGCCCCATGGTCAGCTTCTCAAATATAATCCTTCATTGAACCAGACCTCTGTAATTCTTCATAACTTGGCCTTTGCAAATGGCGTTGCTCTCTCTGCAGATCAAGATTACTTAATTGTCTGTGAAACGTGGAAGTAAGTATTGTCAAATTATTAAATGATTTTCTACCTCTAACTATAAGATAACTTGGTGAGCTCATGAGATGCTATGAGAAAGTAGTCTTTTGCTAAAAATGTTGAGACATGTTTCTCTATTGACTAGCACGGTTTCTTCATGAACACATTCTTTTGGTAATTGGAACCAATTTGTTAAGTTGATTGTTCAAGTTGCATTCAACATTCTTTTCGTCCATGATAATCAGATTTAGGTGCCTAAAGTATTGGCTGAAGGAGGAAATCAAAGGACAAACAGAGATCTTCGTCGATAATCTTACTGCTTCACCCGACAACATCAAGCTTGCTCCAGATAGTTCGTTCTGGATAGCTCAAGTAGAGGTAAGTTATAAACACCTTGCAGTAGCAGAGAAGGTTCATCTGCTGTGCCAATTTAACAACTGATGTGTCTGTCTCTGTTACAGTTTACAGCTCGTGGACTAAATTTTGTACACTCGTCAATAGCTTCAAAACATTTGCTGGCAACTTTCCCCAAATTGATAAACTGGGTCCTTGGAGCATACCACAAAGCGATGGTAGTGAATGTGGCAGCTGATGGGAAGATAATCAAAGGCTTTGATGATCCAACTGGAAAGGTCATGTCATTTGTGACATCTGTGCTGGAGTATGAGGGTCATCTATATTTGGGAAGTCTCAACTGTGACTTCATAGGAAAGTTACCACTGACAACCTCAACTGTGTAGCCATTGCTAACTTGCTCACATAATGCTTAGCAAATTTGAGAAATATAATATCATCATAGCTATAGGACAACCACCACAGGTCCCAAGATCATAACGAGATGTTCAAGATCAGCTACTGTTGATAATAACGCAATAATGATACCTTGTTAAGGAAACAAGTTAAAGTTTAAGGAGGAAAAGTGAAAGTGCAGCTTCCTTTTGTCCCATTGTAATACACACAGGACCAAGCTGCTTGAAATAAGACCGATTAATAATTCCTGACAGTTGCATTCGAACAATTTCTGAAACTAAGGACACCAAGAAAAGTTACAATGTAACATAATTTGTAACTCGTATGAGCGTACACTGAGGGATTCCATATACTCTAACGCCAACTGTAACAACCAGATCCTAAAAGTTTTTATACCAAACATACATCTCTACTGAATCAGACGGTATTCAATAGCAATCAGTCGCGTTCACTGATAGCAGTTAAGTGCTCATCAATTTCTTCAGTTGACAACACTCTGAAGGACGGATCTTCACTCCTCACAACACCAACCTGCCAAAGACCAGAAGATATAATGTATTCAAGCAGTGAACCAATCCAGTTACAATCATGCAAAACCACTACAATTACTTAACACTACCCAAGGCAATTCAATTCTATGATACATGTCTCAATGTCTATATTTTGCAACCACTCCCTCTACTGAGAAAATAGTGGACATTATTGACCCGTCTCCTTCTATAAACAATGGAAGTATGCAAATATCTAAAGGGACATTATACCTCAAAGGAAAATAACACTTCCTAAAGCCACTCAAGCAAGAGAGAGATTCATTCTGAAGAAAAAGCAAGGAGATGGAGGCAAAAAGCAATCATCCCTCTCTTTCACTCATTTTCATTTTTTCCTCTTACGTGGTGATCATTATGGGCAAGAACTTCACTAAGACTCAAATCGTAAATAATGTGGAGGAGTAGTTAAATACCTCGATCTCGCTGGCCTTGAAATCTTCTTGTAGAACAGATTGAAGAGCAGATATTGCAGTCTATTAAACAAAGAGAACATGATCTCTTAGCACAATTAGATAGGTATTCATCAAACTTTAACATCAGATCTGAATACATCTTCAAAATTCTACATTCTACATATTATAGAGGACATGAAATACTACAAGTAGACAAATTAAGTGTCCTCCATCTCGATCAATAGATAGCACTCCTACCAACTCAAATAACATCCACTTAATTGAATACACCACTCACAGGAGTCCTAAGCTTTGTGCAAAAAAATAAAAACCAATTACTTATGCCAGTAATATGATGGAGAAAACAATGTCGAGCTTTGATTAGGAAATTATGCAACCTATTAATACTCCAAACTTCACCTCAACTTTTTATTTTTTCAGAAGACATCCAGACACATTAATCAAAAAGGGAAAATCACATAGTCTTTGCTCGTAATAAGTGAGGTATAGATTACAGTTTGACAATGTGATTCATCTAGTGAAGTTCTGAATTCTAAATAGTGCAGGTCATATTAGCAAGAAAAGCACCAAATACTCATGTTGGATTAAAAATAGCTCGTGACTTCTACATTGATTCTCTGGTAATGAACATGAGAACAAAAACAATTGGTAAGATCTTCTCCAAAACTCTTCACCACCATTTCCTATATTTGACTCTATGACAAATAACCATAAGATTCAACAAAAAATAAAAAATATGTATCTGACTAAAGAAAAGACAAGGAACGCCAATTTCGCATATAATAGCTGGCCGTCCAGAAAATTATGTAGGCAAGAGACAAGAACCAAAGAGAAAGCAGCAGAGTTTGAACCAAAAACAGTTCAACAATGGAATAGAAGGAGAAAGGAAGCTCTAAACCATGTCTTAAGCAGGATCCTTTTTACCTGAACAGTTTCCTCGTAGGAAAAAGCAGGGTCATTTTTCATTTTCTTCTCCAAAAAATTAATTGCCTCTTGCTCTTTAGATCCAGCACTTGTTGCCTGCAACAAAGTCAATAGATCTAAACAACACGAACAGAAAAAAGATTGAAGATTCCAGCAAGCTCTCTTCTGGAAGATCTCAAGACCTGACTTAAGGCACCTTAATGTCCTTTCAAGAACAAGCACATACAGGGAACAGATAGATTTAAAATGATTTGTTGGCATAGCCTAACTAACGGGTATAACAATCTGATTCTATAATTTGGATCTTACAAGGTAAATGCAAGCTAATAGTGCAAGGCAAAATCCGCCTGTGTAACACTCCGACATCTCGTTTTCAGTTTTTTTTTTTTGGCTGAGTTTCGGAAATGTCACTAAGTTGATATACTTGTGACTTGTGCAGACAGTTGAGTTGAGTTTGAAGGGGCTCGGACAAGTTTTGAGGGTGTTGAGGTGAAAAATATGGTGCTGCAACAGATGTTGTTATGTTGCCACCGCAGGTCAGAAACAGCCATCTTAGCATTGACTGTGCGAGGAATACAGTATTTGGCAATGGCAGTCAAGGTCTGCGATCGAGGCAATGGTCCAGCCCAGGCCCACAATAGCAGTGTTATGCTACTATCATAGCACTATACATCAGCGAACAGAATCAAGGATTTTATATCCTGAACACATTTTAGGACGAACATAGTCCTCATTTTGAAGAGGATTTCACTCCAAATCACTTCCTAACATTCAGGTAAGATCCATAACATTATTTTGGGTTTGCATACATATACTGATACAAGTCAGTATAAGTATCTTAGATACTTGGCCATGGAAGATGATTTGGAGAACAAAATGCCCGCCAAAAGTTAATGCTTCACTTGGGTGCTAATGTGCTAAGCATGTCTCAGGCAAGATAATCTAATGAAAAGAGGTTTTACCCTCTGCAGCAGGTGCTATCTCTGTCAGTCAGAAAATGAGAGCGCCAGACACGTTTACTGACATTGTATATCACAAAAGAACTATGGAACATGTTTTTGGATCTTTTCAGGCTACAATGGTCATACCATATGGAATTAAAGAGGCTTTCTGTAGCTAGCTGTTGTAGAAAGTTTAAAAGCGCAGAGAAGAAATTATGGCAGTCCATTCCCAGAGTATAGTCAATTTTGTACAGCTATCTGTATAACTGATAGATTTTTGGATATAAACAATGTAACACAATTTCTGGATGGCTCTTTCTCTTTCGTATAAGAGTCAAGTTACTTGATTAAAAAAAAAACTTACACAAGTTAGCCTAATCCCCCAAACTTGAAATCTTGAGATTTGAATTGGTTTATGGTATCTAATGGATGATAAGTGATTGGAATGGAGTAATGAAGTCATGGGTAACCTAGAAAGACTATGGGTTGGTCGGTTTGACTGGGTTTGATATGTTTGGCCCGGGGTTTGACTATGACAAGATAACAATTTTGGAAAATGAGTTGTATGAGTGTATTTGACACTGTTGAATTACTATTTCAGTAGATTGGCAAGCATAGGTTGAGTCTTGACGCTATAGTAGCGCTTTGAGCTTTGGACTTGAGGTAAATCGAGACCTTACTCTGTAAATGCTTGTTTTGGATAAACTAGCATATTGTATGATTTGAAAATACCAATACTATGAAAGCTTGTTTGGGCAGCCATATATATGAGGGAACGAACATTTACAAGTACAGTTTGGAAAGCTGTTGAGCTTTTCATCAATCTTATACACTATACAATACGAGATTTGATAAATAGTTCCACTGTATATTATAGCTCAAAGCTATACATATGTTTATAATTAACTGCATCCTCTGAGCATAAGCATGATAATTGCATGATACATCTTGCACTGAGTAGCTAAATCCCGACCAGTGCCTGAGGTCGCTGTTGTGGCATAGTGCACGCATAGAGTTGATACATCAAGTCAACCAATGTCTAAGGTGTTCACTTTTGCACATTACATGTTGCATTGGGTCAATGTTTGTAAGGCCCTGTGGATTCTTAAACCTGACTACGCTAGTTAAGAGCCTAATAACGCAATCAAACCATCCCAAAGGTATTAATGATTCCATATGATCAAGGTCGTAGGCTCGGATCATGAATACAGTGCAAGAGTATTGGCACCATCCAGCCGCTACAGTGCCAAGATAGTGCTGGCTGCAGAAGTTTTGGTGCTTTCCAGCCGCTATATTGCTGAGACAGCACCACGCCTAGTGCGGTAAAAGTTCCTAAATTGGGATTTTTAGTTCAAAACAAGACAAGAGGGTTAGTTGGGTCTTTGGGAAGATTTTACACAAAGAATCACGACCAATCATTGAGGTAAGGTTTTTACGACTCATTTACGCTATTTAACATCCATCAACATGAGTTAACATTGAAATCAAGGTATTTTACTAGATTTCAAGAGAATATTCGAGAACAACCATTTGAGAGTTTTCAAGGTGTCAACCCAATGAGGTAATTTTTCTCACCCTACTATTTTTTTTTGATGAAGAATTTTTCTCACCCTACTATGTTATTAATGCAAGATTATAGTGATAAATAGTGAATTCATAGGGTTAGAGATTAGAAAGGGAATTGAACAAACCTTAATCCTCCATTTGTGGAACTTGTTAAGAACTTGGGGAAAATGACGGAATCTTTTATTGGGTGTTGAATTAACAATTTGGAATATTATTAAGGCGAAATACATAAACAGCCCCTTTAAGTTGTCAACAACAATCAGATGAACGCCTTAACTTGGCATATGACCAGACAGACACTTCTATTTGACACGTGTGTCTTATGAATACCCGAGTTCAACAAGCCTCATGTGTGAGTTACACTCGCGGATGACATGGCAAACTGACAAATTATCAAATGACATGTGTATTTCTTAAATAAACTATAGTTTATAGTAAAAAATACTTGTAATTCTTTGATTAAAAAAAAGAAGAAAAAGACTTTCCTTCCTCTCTCTCAGCCAAAAATAAAAATAAGAAATAGTTGTATTTCTTCTTCCTTTAACACCATAAACGCTACAGCTCCTTTCCACCATTGTAACACTACCAAAAAATACCACAAAAGGTCTAACCTTTAACAATAATTTCTCTCAAAAGTTCAATTTCTCATTCCCAATCATTCCCCTCTCTCGCGGGTGCAATCATTGCTTTGCTACATTAAAAATCCCTCTTTGCTACATTAAAAATCCCTCTTTGCTTTGCTTTCATTACTACTCTTCCTTAATCTCATTGCTGTTCTTCCATTGGTTTGGTTCTTCTTCTTTTTTCTTTGTGCCACGCCTTATGGTTTATTGCTCTTTGAAGCTCCACCCCAATTATTTGTTTGTATATAAACCTTTCCACAGTCGGCCGCCAAAGCCCACTTCACTCCTTTTTTTTTTATAAAACCAAATCAAAAATCGTCCCAACCCATTTGATTGATATATTTTTATCAGTGAAGAACCAACTGTCAGATCTAATTGTGGTGAAATTAGAAGGTTTTAGAAGGGTTCTTTTTGGTTTTTCAGATTTGGGGTCAAAGGGAGATTGAAGAAGTGATAGTAGTTCTGTGGTGGTGTAACCGTGGAGATTAATTTGGGTTTGTTTAGTGGTTGACAGTGATTGTGGTGGTGGTGATGGAAGTTGTGTTCTTGATGTGCTTTTTTTTTTCTAGCATGCAGGTAGAAGGTGGAGAAGATAGTTTGGAGCAGAGGCGCAGAGGACGTTGGAGGAAAAAATTGGAGAAGAAAGTGGTGTAAGAATTAGGTGGGGTCCATGTTGATTTTAGGGAGAAAAAAAAAAGATAAACCTAATTTTAAAGAGCTTCACACGCTCAGATCTGAGTGCAACACACAAATTTTGCCATGTCTGCGTAAGGGGTTTAAGAGATACAGTTCTTCCAAATAGAAGTGTATGTCTGGTTATATGCCAAGTTAAAGCGTTCATCTGATTGTTGTGGACAACTTAAAGAGGTTGTTTATGTATTTAGTTCCCATTGGATCATCTAGAATGAAGTGGGTAAACTTAGTTCCCATAAATTGGTAAGAGAACTCATGAGTTGGAGAACTTGAAAAAATGTCCCCAAGTTAGAGTGAATAAAGTTGAGATCTTTGAGCATGTATTGATATATATCAAACCCAGTTATCAGGTAGATTGTGATTCGGATTGCTTGAAGGACACGAGAAGCTGAAGTTAAGCTTGTAGCTCAAGGTAATTTAAGGCTTACTCTCCTAATAGAGAATTCTAGTAAAACCCACGTACTTTATGTGTTTGATGAGTCTAAGCAAGGTTTCTTGTGATCTACTAACCAAAGCACCCCATTCCTACTCAATACAGTCTTATATGAAAATGTGATAGTATTATATGCGGTCTCTGTTGCCCAGCATGACTTGTATGATATTTTGCTCAGTCTTTAGAAAATCATATGCTTATGTGTGTCACTACTTGATATGTGTAATTGTTGTGATATTTATGTTCAGTTCAGCAAACAGTTTCAGCATTCAGTGCAGTGCATTAATGTGATCATATTCAGACAGGAGAGCCAGCCGATCTCCCCCAGCGTGTGTCACGAGAGCCCAGGGTTACCTACCCCACGCTTGTAGGGACTATTGTTTGCTAGGGAGATAGACCGATGCTCTCAACGTGTGTTGCCAGATCTCACGTACGAAGGGTCACTATGTGTAACTCTTTTCTTTTAGAAAAGTTAAACTAACTCAGCTTTCAGTTTTTGGTTCAGTTATCAGCTTACAGCCTCAGTTATCAGCTTATATCACACTTTATATGATTTTCATGCTTACTTGTGAAACGTGCTTCCTTGTTTATTATGTTCTTAACCCCGGAAGTCTAGTGTCGCCTTTTTAGGAGGTAGACTATGAGACTTACTGGGTATCATGTCGATGATACTTAGTCCGAGAGGACCTGCTTTCATTTTCTTGGATGCAGATACCACTAACCACGTTCAAGTCCGACCAATTAAGCTTAGACTCCAGCTCAGCTTACCTCCGCCATCTTCTTCGGCGGGAGTTCATTCGTCGTTATGTTATTTTAATCATTTCAATATTCCAGGGTATGACCCGAAGAGATTATGTAGTCAGTATTCTTAGAGGCTCATGACTTAGCCTAGTGGATGTTAGTTTTAAAATACAACTATAGTATTCTGTTCTAACTCAGATGTTTTAGTTATGTTAATTATGTTCGCCCTTTCAATTGATTCAGACAGCTTAATTAGATTATATATTAGTCAGCTAGATACAGGGTTCACTCGACAGACAACATCAAATGTCAATCACGTCCCACCCCAGTTTTGGAGAGTGTCAATATCACACAAACAACACTAGGAGTGTTCACCTTGCATCGGGGGAGGCGTACTGACGGACACAGAGTGACATCTGCTCGACCAGCATTTTTTGCCTCAACCCAGACATGTGCAGCTGTCGGTTATTTGGTATTCACTGGGCTAGCATCCCTGTTGTTCATCGTGGATTTCATTCGATCAATGTCCTAGATGTTCATCGTCAGATATGATCCTTGTATGGGCCAGTTCAAGGACTTACTAGCAATCTCAATCCCAATACATTATTACTCTACTATGAGGCTGGAGTTGTACTTCCAGTTATCATCAAACAAAAGACCACACATGCATTAGTTAGTAGCTTTGGAAGCAGGTAACCGACCTTCCCTAGTATATTACCAATGTGGGCAGTTGCATCGCTTATGCACAGATGCAGTACAGTTATCCTTTGAGCACAGTATTATATCAGATTCAGTCGCGTTCGAAAAGCCACTCAATGTTATGATTTCGAGAGATAATCCCAATATTTTTACAAAATATAAGAGTGACAATGTCTAATAGGTGTAATAGACAGATTCTTGAGGTTTTTTTTTTTTTTTTTTTTTTTTGGGATAAACTAGTGCTTTAGAAGCTATGGTTTGCCAAAAATAAGAGACCTCTTTTAGAATCCTGCAGTACTTGGACAATGGTAAAGTTGATCAAATCTTTTGTTAATATTGCGATGCTTACTCTTCAGATCTGGAAAATTAAACAGAAAAAGGAAAAAGAGTGTATTCAAAAGATAAAAAATTAGAGGAATAAATACATTTTTCCCATTTGTCTCTATTTGATACTTTTTCTTTTATTTTCCATTAGTAAGGATAAATTGGTAGATAGAATCTCTTATTAGAACCATTCAACGTCAGTTATTAGGGACCGTTAACTGTATAAAAGTAGGGGTCTTTGCGAAAACATCAAAAAAGAATAGAATGAATGTGGATGTAACTGAATGTGCGTGTATACCGTATCAAAGGAACCATTCTTACACTAATGGCAAACTGGGAAGTGAAATAACAGTTCCTTGCTTGCGCTGTCTCACTTTCTAAAGGTGCAAGACCAATTTAATAGAACTCAACTTAAAATCTAATTTTCCCATCATTGCTTTTCTGTAGAGCATCAACTAGTGTGGTGACAAACTTACAGCTTAAATTAGTATGACAGGAAAGCAGTCAAACAGAAGGCTAAGTATAAGAAGATACTCAATCAGCTTTTATCTAGGAAAATGACATAAGTGCAATAAATACCTTATGACCAAAAAAATGACCAGCAGGGTCACATTTGAAGAGTTGAGGCCCCTTCTCCTCATCGATTCCCAAAATCATAGCGACTTCATATCAGAAAAGAACAAAAAGAAAAAGCAGTCATGAATAAATATATTCTATCTGCGCCATCACTAAGGGAAAAAGTGCCCCATAAATATCGAAAGGGAGCAGCAACGAACCTACTCCCAGGGGTCTCATATAGGCATGTTGTGTATAAACCTGAGACTTGTCTGCAATCCTGCATTGCATACTTGTTTTTGGCTCATTATGATTTATAATTGTAAGATTATGATGTATTCTTCTTGTTAGCTTATGTATTCTCCACTATCAAAGAAACAGCACATCATAAAAGCACTTTAAATTTATTTGATTTGTTTCCACTACATGCATCAACCCCATGCTGTCATACTACAAGCTTTGGGAAGCGAAAAATTTCACAGGAAATAACATTTGACAAAATATTCAATCCACAATTTGCATTTCTTTTCGACCTAGTACAACATTCTAGGACACCTATTGTCTATGTTGCTCGGACTAGGGTGCGGGTATCTGATACGGGTGTGGATCTAGAGGCCGGATTCTTCATCATATAGATTTTAGGATTTGGGGTTATGGATCCGAGTGCGGGTACGGATGCTGGGATACAGCCAATAAATGTATATTGCGACATATATAAGTATATATTTCGATTAATTAAAGGTATTGAACTAAAAGTAAAAAAATTTAACTTTTATAAATACTTAATATTTTATTCATACGATATCTCGTATAACAGCAAAGCATTCTAATACTTGATATAACTTTATATATATATGACATAAGCCCACAAAATCAAACTAAATACCCAATCAATATATACTTCTCAGTTATACATGTAGCCAAAGCACCCAAGGTAAGTTGACCAAATCCGTTGGGGATCCCACACCCATGTTGTGTCGACACGGGTGACGCAAGGATTTTGACGAGTCCGCACAACATAGCCTACTGTAGCAATTTACATAATTAACTGGCTTGTTACAAAGACACAAAAAGTCATAGAACAAAATAACATACCATCTACCCAGTACATCCACTGGCATCTCATACCCATATCTAAAACGGAACTCAGCAGCTTCATTTCGAGCTTGTTGGACCAAGGTTCTTGCATCAGCTGAAATTACACGGGAAAATATGTTAAAATAACTGCGGAAATAGAGGTATAGTCACAAATTCAAAGCAATATGATCTATTTCTAAGCAAACCAAAGAAAATACTAAAAGTGGACAAACTTTTGACTTCCAACTTGTCTCTTGCAAGTTCAAAAAACATGTCTTAGCAGACGTGCCTATTGAAATAATAAAAGGTACAAGATTCTCATTCTTGTCGACAAATATACACTTCTACAAAAAGTAGATCATTGGAAAATTAATTAGTCAGAGCCTAAGGGTTATATACAAAGAATCAAATCAATTCTCCATTTTCATGTAAACCACCCATAATAGAACCCTTGCACTCCTTAAAAAAGTGACAGACCTGTACTGCCGGTAGCTAATAGTCCAAGATACTTGGTAATTGGGAACAAATGGCTCACACTTGTCTGATCCAATAACTTGTCCTGCTCAGCCAAAGTAACAAACACATTACAGACTTGATAACAGTTCCATATATCACAAATCCTAGGAAAGCTTATACTCTCTGCAAGTAACATTATCACAACAATGGCTTCTTTGCTTACAATTTTACATAAGTCTGTCATATTAGTGATCTTATATCAGGTCATACAAAACTTAGAACAACAATGATGCTACTCCCTCTTTACGGCCTTTTCTCTTCGTGTGATCCAAACTAAGTGAACTTGGACTAGCATAAAATGTATTCATTCCAAAATTTTAATATGAGGACAATTGCAACATATAGCACTTTTCTGAGTTTTGGAACTTCTAAATTTTAACTCAGAAAGAAAAAAAAGATGAACTAATCTAGTCCGATTTAACTCCAAAGATTAGTAAATTGATTCTCCATAAGCAAAAAAGAAAAGGTCAAATCCCCCCTCTCCCCAAATATTCGAAATTGAGACACTGTCCTTAGTTGAACTTGTGGTCTAATTTTAAAAAGGTCTCATTTTTGCCCTTGAACCCTAAGCTATAGTCAAACGTCAAGGGGTAGACAAGGACTGTTTTTTTCTCAAAGAACTTGGACACATGGAGTACATCCATTTTATACTAGAGCTTCGTTATTGGTAAGGACAAATGATATGATCCAAAACAATTGCCTTCTAATTCTGTATTAGGGAATTGTATTTCCAATATCATCTTTTTGTTTCATTCCAGCTGTCAAGTTAGTTAGGAGTTGGTTAGGCACATGTGTGGGGCACGTGCACAGTAAAGTCCCTTCCCAGAGTTAGTTGTAACTAACTTCCCCCTCTTTCCCCAATTCCATTTAAGTGAGATCAGCTGATTGTAAATTCATTCGGTACTGATTCGATGATTCCTATCAATAATATCTCCACTTTTTCTCTCTCTAAACTTAGAACTCAATTCGAGTATCTTGAGAAGTCTGTTCAAGAGCAATTCTGTTACTTTGCTCTTTAGGACTCTCATTTCTTCTATTTTTTTAAGCTGGATATCATTGGTATCAGAGCAAAGCTCTCCTTGGATCTGAGGAAAGTGAAATGGGGGAACACAACTCTACGATACAAGAGCTTCGAAGAGATCTTGATGGTCTTCGAGATCTTTTGAAGGAATTACTAGGACAATGGAGGAATTGAGGAGAACCATGGATGAGAAGCTTGCACAGTCAAGGGCGAAATTTAAGAGAATTCTTCTAACGAGTATGGAGAATCAACGACCAGAGGTGAATCCCAGTGCTAAGGAAGATATTACAACTACAGCAGCAAGTGGTCGGCGAGAGAAGTACTACAAGTTGCCTACTAGGAGAAATCAGTTGGAATTTCCAAAATTTGATGAAACTAGGTTACGCGACTGGTTGTATCAGTGCGAGCAATTCTTCAAAGTGGATAAAACTCCACAAGCATCCAAAGTGAAATTAGCTTCTTGTAGACTGGGAGGTAAGGCTCTTCAATGGCACCGAGTCTTTTATGAAAACTAGACTGTCGAGGGAGTGGCGGCCTAATTGGGCGGAGTACGTGCGGTGTTTGTATGCAAGGTTTGGCTCAAAGCTATTTGATGATCCAATGGGATATTTGAAGGATCTGAAACAAGTAAACTCTGTTCAAGACTATGTGGATTTATTTGATGAATTGTTGAGTACAGTAGACTTGAATGAGTATGGTGTCAGTTGTTTTTTGAAGGGTCTTAAACCCGAAATTGGTTTACCTGTAAAGATGTTTGCCCCTAGATCCCTACACAAAGCAATCAATCTGGACAAAATTACAGAACAGCCATTAATAATTCAGAAACAAGCTTTAAAAAATATTCCAATCCTTTCTAATCCTAGACCAGTCCAAAAACTTCCTTCGCTAACACCAGCTATTTCAACAACCCATCTTTCTCCAAACCAAATCAATCACTCTAGAAAGCCCAGAGTTCTTACTCTAGAGCTATTAAACCATCTTACAAGAACCCAAAAATTCTGAGTCGTAATGAAAAAGAGGATAAGAGAGCAAGGGGGTTATGCTTTTATTGTGATGAAAAATATGTCCCAAGACATGTGTGATCAAAGAGGAGGCAGTTATTTTTCATTGAAGTTGAGGAACCAAAGGAAGAGGAGAATGGTGATGAAGGAGATGCACTGTTTGATCCTTCTGAATTTTTGTTTATGGAAGGGTTAGACTATGATGTTGACTCTGAGGGGGCTATTTTACCTCATGTTTCAGTACATGTAATGACTGGTGCCCAAGACTTCAGGACTATGTTTAGAACTTTGAGGGTCACAGGTTCAATAAAAGGGAAAGCTGTCAAGATCTTGACTGACACACGTAGCACTCACAATTTTATGGACCTTACTATTGCAAAAAGGTTGGGCTATTACTTGACTAGAATCCATCCTTTTGCTGTATCAGTAGCCGATGGCAACATAATGCACAACAATTTCATCTGTAAGGAGAATACAAGGGGCTCAGTTTATGTCTGACTTGTTAACTTTGCCTCTTGGTGGTTGTAATATGATTTTGGGAGTACAATGGCTCATTACGTTGGGTGATATCTTATGAACTTCATGAAGGCGAGAATGGAATTCAGGTACAAGGGGTAAAAGGTGTCATTAAGGGGCATACAACTCGGCAGCTCCTGCAATGAAGCTGGTGGAACAAGGCAAAATGGATAAGCTCTTAGCTAAACATGCTGAGCTATCTATGATGACAGTGGGGTTGTTTGTTGCATACCCTGAACCAGGGGTAGCTTCTGGAAATTAGAAGCTCAAGCAGAAATAGAAGAGGGCAAGTCAGGATTGCAGGAATTGTTGAAGGAGTATAGCGACTTGTTTGAGGTTCCTAAGGACCTTCCACCACCTAGACAACATGATCACAGAATTCTATTGAAGGAGGGCACCTCTCCTGTCAATATCAGACCATATAGATATCCCACCATACAAAAGAAAGAGATAGAGAAAATGATTGAAGAGCTAATGACTACTGGAGTGATAAGGAACAAAACAAGTCCTTACTCTTCACCCATTCTTATGGTGAAGAAGAAGGATGGGAGTTGGATAATGTGTGTTGACTATAGGGAACTTAACAACAATACAATCTAAGACAAATTTCCAGTACCAGTTATTGAAGAAATGTTAGATGAACTCCATGGCGCTAACGCCGCTAAGTTCTTCTCCAAGCTGGACCTTAGATCAGGATACCATCAAATTAGGATGTGGGAACCTAATATTCCAAAGACTGCTTTCAGGACTCACTATGGCCACTTTGAGTTTTTGGCGATGCCTTTTGGCCTAACCCATGCTCCTTCTACTTCTCACAGCCTGATGAACCAAATCTTCCATCCTTATCTCAAGTTCATCTTAGTTTTCTTTGATGATATCCTGGTGTACAGCTCTTCCTAGGGCGATCACTTAGTACATCTGGGGAAGACCTTTGAGGTTTTGAGGACTAATGTTCTATTTGTTAAGAAGAACAAGTGTGCTTTTGGTGAGACTAAGTGGATTGTTTAGGGCATGTGATTTCTGAACAAGGAGTTTACATGGATGCTCAGAATATATCAGCAATACTCAGTTGGCCTCAACCTTCCTCCATCAAGGCACTCAGAGGGTTCTTAGGTCTATTACAGAAGGTACATAAAGGGGTATCTATCTCTTAAAGAAGGGAAACTTTGCATGGAACGACGTTGCAACTCAGGCATTTGAAGGATTGAAGGAGCTCATAACTTCAGCTCCTGTCTTAGCACTGCCACACTTTTCTAAAGAATTTATTGTTGAGACAGATGCATCAGGAGAAGGTATTGGTGCAGTACTTACTCAAGAAATACAGAACTACAACTTTTTTTAGTAATGGACTATCCGACAAGAACAAGGTATTATGAGAGGGAGTTGTTGCCATTGGTGAGTGCAGTACAAAAGTGGAGGCCATATCTGTTAGGTAGACATTTTATCATTAAGACTGATCACCATAGTCTTAAATATCTGTTGGATCAAAGGATCACAACACCTAGCCAGCAAAAGTGTCGAGTCAAACTGTTTGGCTTTGATTACACCATATCCTATAAGAGGGGCTAAGACAATATTGTTGCAAATGCGCTGTCCAGGAGGGAGGAACCGGCTCAACTTTGCAGCATTTCTGGAGTTTAGGTGGATCTATTAGAGGAAGTCAAACAATCTTGGCTGCAAGATCCAGTTCTGCAGCTACTCATCAAGAAATTGCAAACTTCTGCACCAACCAAACCACATTACAAGTACCAGGCTAGCATTCTGAGCAGAAAGGGAAAGATTATGGTGGGCATAATGAAATAAAAGGAAGCCAGTAGCTTACTACCACACCACTTCAGTTGGAGGACACTCTAGCATTTTTGCCACCTCAAACAGACTCAAGCAGGATTTCTGTTGGAAAAAGATGAAACAAATCAGAGGTGCAAAAATGAGAATGTAGCATAGCCAGAGATGCTACAGCCCTTGCCTATTCCTAACAAAGTATGCCAAGATATCTCTACGTATTACATCGAAGGATTACCAAAGGCCAAGGGCAAAGAGGTCATCTTTGTAATGGTTGACAGGTTGAGTAAAGCTGCTCATTTCATGGCTTTAAAACATCCTTACACTGCCTTAGAAGTGGCATAGGCGTTCATGGATAATATTTTTAAACTCCATGGTATGACCAAGTCTGTGGTGTCTGATAGAAATGTGGTCTTTACCAGCAAATTCTGGAAGGAGTTATTTAAGTTGCAAAAAGTGTCCTTGCTCGCTTTTACTGCTTACCACATCTTCACTCCATGAACCCAGCTGCTATTGAAGCCCGAATGGATGGACAAATTGAGGTGGTAAATAGGTGTTTGGAATGTTATTTGAGATGCGTGATATGTGATAGACCACAAGAATGGCCCTAGTGGTTACCCTTAGCAGAGTGGTGGTACAACACTGCCTATCATTCAGCTATAAAGATGACATCTTATGAGGTCGTTTATGGTCAGAAACCACAACCTCTGCTACCATACATGCTTCTTGATTCCCAATTGGAAGTGGTAGATAGAAGTCTGCAAGCAAGAGAAGCCACCTTGAGGATAGTCAAGTTCCATTTTTTGAGAGCTCAAAATAGAATGAAGTCTCAAGCAGATAAGGGCAGGACTGATAGGAATTATGAAGTTGGAGATTGAGTCTATGTTAAATTGCTCCTACAGACAGTTACCTCTGAAGAGTCACTCTTTTCAGAAGCTCCAGCCAAGTTTTATGGACCCTTTCAGATAATTCAGAGGGTGGGACCAGTAGCCTACACCTTGGCTCTACCTGCTCATTCTAAGATCCACCCTACATTTCAAATCTCTCAACTTAAAAAAAGGCTTGGTTCTCATCCAGTCTCACCCGTTCTTCCCATTGTTCATGTTAAACATGGTCATGTGCTACTTGAACCTGGGGATATTTTAGACAGGGGATTGGCTCCAAGAAATGGTAAAGCTACTGCACAAGTTCTTGTGAAATGGTTAAATGCAGCTCCTGAAGACAGTACATGGGAAGATTGGCACGATTTCCAGCTCAAATTTCCATCTTTTAATCCTCGAGGACAAGGATTGTTTGAAGGGGGAGTAACTGATATGATCCAGAATAATTGCCTTCTAATTTTGTATTAGCGAAGGTTATTTCCACTTTCATCTATTTGTTTCATTCCAGCTATCAAGTTAGTTAGGAGTTGGTTAGGTACATGCACAGTAAAGTCCCTTCCGTGAGTTAGTCGTAACTTAAAGTCCCTTCCGTGAGTTAGTCGTAACTTAAAGTCCCTTCCCTGAGTTAGTCGTAACTAAATTCCCCCCTTCCCCAATTCCATTTAAGTGAGATCAGTTGATTGTAAATTCATTCGGAACTGATTCCTATCAATAATGTCTTCATTTTTCTCTCTCCAAACTTAGAACTCAATTAAGAGTATCTTGAGAAGTCGGTTCAAGAGCAATTCTGTTATTTTGCTCTTTAGGATTCTCATTTCTTCTTCTATTTTTCTTTAGTTGATATCAACAAATACGAGACGATTTACTGACAACAAGAGTATGGATGGACCAGAAGTCTAATAAATGACAAAATTGAGCAATTCCATAGAGTACAGCGGCAAATTTGTACCTTCTCCCTAAGCAAAAAGTACCAAATATATTGGGAGGGAGCGAGTTAAAAAGTTGCACTCACAGGAACTTTCTTCTGAGTAACAACACAAACTGAGTCCCTTCCACGGACACCAATAGAAGTGATTCTCACAGCCTTCACTGCCTTAAACGCATACTCTTTTCAAAAAAACAAAAAAAAAAAAAAAAAGTGAAAGAAAAAAAAACAACCATCAATCAACTGGCCTCAATCCAAAATTCATTCAAATAAACAATTTGACTTAAGAAACTTAAATTTTTCACAATGACAAAAAGGACGAAGATTTCGATAAAACTGAAGAGAGGTTGCAAAATAGGAATGGAGTTGGAGTTAAATTGGTAATTGGTTAGAATGTAGAAAAATGCTTACCGACTTGGTATAGACGACCTTCTGGGGAGAAGATAGTAATGTGACGATCATAGCCGCCTCCGCTTCCTCGACTCATTCTTCAGTTTAAACAGTTGCCACTGTTGCTTTTGAGTTGGGTTAATTGTGATTAGGGATTTAGTACAAGAGATTGGTTAATTGCAGAGTGGAGCAAATGCTTCTGAAGGAGAAAGAAAGCTTTTTTCCCAAGAAAACTCTCTTAGTCCAACTGAGGTGCCTCAGAGGTTCAAAAAAAAGGGCCAGTCCATGTAGAAAATATGAAAGTACATATTTTATCATATAAACATGTTTCAAAATAATTTGAAGATTGAGTAGTTAGTGATAAAGGGTAAAATAGAAAAGAATTTATTTTTATCATAATTTGTTAAAATAGATAAATAAAAGTATAAATGTATTTTTAGTATAATTTATATATATATATATATATATATATATATATATATTATTATAAAAGTACGAATAATTTATGCTAAATATTGAACGACTAAAATATCCCTCAAATATTGATCGACTTTTATACCCTTAAATATTTGTATAATCTAAGGATGTAATCGTAAATCACCTAAGGCTAAACTCTTTTTCGATTTAAATTAAACTACATATACGCCAAGCCTACAAAGTTGATTTCGGATCAAATACTTTTGGTACATCTTGAACGTAGCCTACCAAGCTGCCTACAAAATTGATTGTCTAATACTGAAGGAATTTTATACTAAATAAAATTGTTACATTGAATATATAACAATTTTATACCATTGCCTAATATTTAGAGTCCGAAATCTTCTAAGTTTTGCCGTATATTTTACCCTTAATCAACTTTGTCCTTTCCTTATTATATTGGAACATATATATTCTCTCGAACCAGAAAAAAAATATGTATTCTCATTTTTCTAACCTTTCAAAGATGGAAAGCACATAATTTTGAAGAATTGACAAAGAATTTCAATTCTTTTTCGGGTTTAAAGTTCTTTTACCGAAGAAAATTCCAAATAGGCTCTTAAGTCTTAATCAATTCCCATATCTTATAGTATCAAACAAGCGAAGAAAAAAGGTCCAAATAAGAACTACTTCGAAAACTGATGTGGTACAATAAATAAGTTAATCAATTAATCAATCTAGACACCGTCATTAATGAATCTTAAAATAAGAAGAATAACTTACATAACATGAATCATTAAGGCTGAACTAAAGTAAATTTTTGCATAAAAAAAAGAAGAAGGTATTGTTGTATTTTTATCGTGATTTTACAACTTTAATCTCTAACTATGTGATTCCAAATAGTTTCGTTTTGTCATGTGATTGCGTCAAAACTCTACTGATGAGTTTAATAAACTTTTTTTTATAAGGTTAATGAGTTTATTAGACTATATGTTATTATTCTGTAAAATAAAATTTGTTTTAAGGAACTGGTTATTAAAATTCGTTCATATCCATGATTAATTTTATAGTATGTATGCAATTAAAAGTGTTTTTATTTTTTGTACGCGTTATAATATTTGACAAATAATATTCGTGCATCGCACGAACGTAGAGACTAGTTATTATAAAAGCACGAATAATTTATGCTAAATGTTGAACGACTAAAATATCCTCGAAATGTTGATAGACTTTTATAACCTTAAATATTTATATAACTTGAGGATACAATTGTAAATTACTTAAGGCCGAAATTCTTTTCCTATTTAAACTACACTTGACAAGCCTACAAAGTAGATTTTGGATCAAACTAACTTGGAATTTGTTTGAATAAGTGCTTCAACGTGGATATTGAGCACAATTATGAAAGAATAAGAAAAATTGAACATAATTTGAGAATTCACTATTGTGATCACTTTGAGAATATTCTGCTCACGAATATTCAAGTGTTGCTGCTACCTTTTTTTTTTTTTTTAAATTGTTATTAAATGTTATACATAGTGAGTAACAATTTAGAATATCTATTCGACTGAAATTTATAACTTTCGATACGCACTTCGTAATATTTTACAATGATATTTTAAACCACTTTACCTCTTCACTTGATTTTTTTTTATGTCAAGAGAATTTAACAACTTATACATAACTAAAAAAAATAGTTTTGCTCTATTTGCAAATATAATTTCAAACAAAGGAGATTTACTTGAGACCACATTCTTTAACCTTGCTCCGCCACTAAAGATATTCCTGCATTGCAAGAACATAGAGACTAATCGATATTTATATCTATTTATATTATTATAAAAATACGAATGTTAAAACACTAAATGTTAGTAGAGGAAAATATTCTTGAAATATTAACTGACGATTATGCCCTTTTAAAGGTTAAATTATTCCTTGAAGTATTTAACTCCGTACAAAATTGTATTATTTGTGATTCTAACTATTGCTCATGAGTTTGAAACCAACTAAGATTTTACCTCTAATTCACTAAAAAAATTCCACGTTGATTTGGATAAACTCTATTCTTATTCTTGTTTAAATATTAAATCACTTTGCATGGTCAAATGCGGTTTGAAAGTGAAATATTATATGCCAATAATTCACCACTCATAAGGCTGAATCAGACTCGAGGAGTCTTCCATAGCAGAAGTTACATGGAATTAAAATCTTTTTTACAAATTTGAATCCTTTTGGTACACAGCCAAACATTAATCCGCTTCCATCTAAAATATGTTTGCTCTCTAATGACGGCTCTATTTAAAAATCTCAATATGTAAACCGTCGCCACGAGGGTTTAAGAGCTTGACCTTCTTTTGATAAAAGGATATCAATTATCTCCTTTTTTTTTTCTTGAATGCTATTTTTTCAGTAATCTCCATACCATGTGTGCAAATTTCAATATAAGTATTGTTGCATTATTAAGTAATTTTATAATTTTAATTGCTACGTGTTAATTTGACACAATCAAGTTAATGAGAATTATTTGACTATCATATTTTACTATTTTTTTGTACGAATTATATAATGTTTGACTTGAGATATTCGTGCAACGCACGAGTATAGAGACTAATACTATATTAAAAGCACGTATCCCAGCGAAATATCTTTCGCCATTTTTACCCTTAAAAATTAAGTTTATACTGGACAAGATAGTAATTTAATTATTTTTCTAATATTTAGGAATAGTTATTTAATTAATTCCCTAAAATTTAGGACTTCAAAATCAATTAAAGATTGTGTACCAAATTCTTTCTTATTTGAACTATGTAATATTATATATCTGTAAAAAAAAAAAAATTATACGTTTCATTAACATGTAAAAATCTTTGAATGGAACACTTTCAATTCCTAAAGTAATATTAGGAATCCTTCTAGCTATAGGAGTCTTTTAAAAAAAAAAAAAATAACCGATTATATTTCTACAGGGAATCACTTTAGGCCCCATATTTGTAGGGGATCATTTTTTGTTACACCTAATAGACTATGTATAAGTTTAAAAAAGAATTTTGTAAAGTGAAAAAGTTTGATTTCTTTCTTTAACAAATATAGAGAAGAAGGATTTGCAACTGCTATGATTCTACGAAGGAAATTGCACTTGAAATGAATATCGAACCCGAATTTTGTAAGAAATGTGTGATGTATAGGAAGTAACAATTTGATGCGTATGTTGATAATGAAATCTCAAAATCTTTCGAAGAATCCTATAGAGTTGATTTCTTTTATACATAATAGACAAGGCTATTTGTTTTTACTTCAAAATAGATTCGAACAATTCGAAGCATATAAAAATATTTTTGGTTTTCTATTTGGTAGTAAAAACTAAGATCACGAGATGTTAGAAATTTGAAAAAATATTACCTTAATCTTGAATGTTCCTTAAAGCATAATTATCAATTCGATATTGATGGTTTAGATTTATTTTCAGAATTAAAAGTTTTAAGAAAAATAGTACAATTAGAAGATAACAGTTTAATTGATATACTTAATCAAATAAAAAGATATAATTCTTTTCCAATGCCTAAATTGCTTATGGAATAATGTTCATAACTCATGTTACCATTGTTTCAGCGGAAAGAAGTTTTTAAAATTAAAATTGATAAAATCTTACCTAAGAACAAGAATGTCACAAGAAAGGTTAAATAGATTAGCTATATTGTCTTTTTTGGTAATTCACAATATTATTAATCACCAAAGAAGCAAATTACAACATATAGAGGCTATCTCGGCCTATACACAACTCTATCATGTACTCCTAACATTGTAAGTTGAGAATGGCTGCTTTGTTCCAGCTTTTGAGGTTCAGGATGTTTAGCCCTCTAGCACTCTTGGGTTGACAGAATCTCTCCCAGGATATCAAGGCTCGCCTGGTAATGACATTAGTTCCTGACCACATGAAGCTTCTACAGTATGCTTCAATGAGCTTGATCACCTTGGAAGGTATCAGAAACATTTGAGACCAGTAAGATTGTACTCCAAAGAGTACATATTTAATAAGTTGAACTCTACCAGCGTATGACAACTTTCTTGCAGTCCAGGATGATATTCTAGCTACTATTTTGTCAATCAGTGGCTGCCATTGTGTCACCTTCATCTTGGTAGTGAGAGGTACTCCCAAGTACCTAAATGGTAGCTCACCTTTCACATAACCCAATTGCTGAAGTATAAGTTCTTGATCTACATTGCACACTCCACCAAAATAAACTGAACTCTTGTTTAGATTAGCTTTTAGCCCAGATGCTGTGGAGAACTGATCAAAACGTTGCTTCAACATTGCCACAGATTGATTATCACCCCTAGAAAACAATAATAGATCATCAGCAAAACTCAAATTAGTAATGCCTAGTTTCTTGCACTTTGGATGAAAGTGGAATTGCTTATTATTCTTCAGATCAGTGAGATGTCTACTTAGATATTCCATTGCTAAAGCAAACAAGAATGGGGACATTGGGTCACCCTATCTGAGGCCTTTAGCAGCAGGAAAGGGCTCAGCTAGCTCTCCATTTATCAAGATAGAATAACTCACACTATGAATACAGGATTGTAACGACCCGGCCGGTCGTTTTGAGAATTTACGCCCTGATCCCAATTAACTACTTTCCCCGTGTTTATTTCTGCTATTGTGATTTGCCGGGATGATTCGTTTTGAGTTTTGGAGTGTTTCGGGACACTTAGTCCCTAAATGAGAGCTTAAGCTTTAGAATTTGGACCATAGTCAGAACGGTGTGAAGACGGTCTCGAAATGGAATTCCGTCAATTTCGTTAGCTCCGTTGGGTGATTTCGGGCTTAGGGGTGTGTTCGGGGTGTGTTTTGGAGGTCTGTAGCTTATTTAGGCTTGAAATGCCGAAAGTTGCATTTTTGAAGTTTCCGGATCGGTAGTGAAATTTTGATATCGGGGTCGGAATCCGATTTAGAAAGTTGGGATAGTTCCGTAGTGTTGAACGTGACTTGTGTGCAAAATTTAGGGTCAATCGGACATGGTTTGGTTGGTTTCGGCATCGGCTGTAGAATTTTTGAGATTTCAAGTTCATTAGGCTTGGATTGGAGGGTGATTCGTGGTTTTAGCATTGTTTGATGTGATTTGAGGGTTAGGCTAAGTTCGTATGATGTTTAAGGATTGGTTGGCATGTTTGGTTGAGGTCCCGGGGGCCTAGGGTGAGTTTCAGATGCTTAATGGAAGTTGAATTGGACTTAGGCAATTTTCTGAACTTGCTGAATCTGTTGGTTTCGCACCTGCGGAGCTTGGACCGCAGGTGCGGCACCGCAGAAGCGGTTTGGCAACTGCAGATGCGGTCAGTTGGTCGCAGATGCAGCTCAAGGACCGCAAAAGCGAAACCACATCTGCGAAGAAAGGAGCGCAGGTGCAGAATCTGGAAGATTAATGAAATTCCGCAGGTGCGAGTATGAGCCGCAGGAGCGGGACCGCGGGTGCGATGGACACCTCGCAGAAGCGGAAATCACTGGGGGTAAAAGTTTGGAAATGGGGGAAAATGTCCCCCAATGGAAAATTTGAGTTTTTAGTGAGAATTTGACGTTGTATTGGGATGATTTTTGTACGAGTGAACTCGTGAGTGAACTCGTGAGTGAACTCGTAATTTTTACCCGATTCCGAGACGTGGGCCCAGGGAGGATTTTGGGCGTTTTTCTATTTTCTTGACTTAGCGTCGATTCCTTTAGCTAAACTCGTTGTTTGTAGTGATATTTACATTATGAAATTGATTTGATTAGATTTGGGCCACTCGGAGTTGGATACTCGTGGCAAGAGCGTGATTTCGGATTGATTGAGCTTAGTTTGAGGTAAGTGGCTTGCCTAACCTTGTGTGGGGGAATCCCCTTAGGATTTTGGTACTGTTGTTATATGAATACCGTGTACGTGAGGTGACGAGTGCGTACACGTGCAAATCATTAAAAAAAACCCCGTTTTCATTAAGTAAATATATGTGTTTTCTTTTAATTGAGCAATACTTGTTTTTGAAGTTTCCTGTTAGGCTTAGGAAAGTATGCTTATGTGACTTAACTGTCTTATCTGCTTTAACTGCTTACTTGGATTCTGTGTAGCATGTTCAGAGTAGAATCTTCCTGTTTTCTTGATACGAACTTGGCTAGAACTATAGATTTCTTTCTTGAGACTGTTGTGTGTTTGCTTTGGGACCACGGGACGGTATCCCGGGAGATCCCCTGCATGTTTACTTTGGGACCATGGATCGGTATTACGGGAGATCCCCCTGCACATTTATATTTGGGACTACGGGATGGTATCCCGGGAAATTCCCCTGTACTGCTATTTACTTTTGGACTACGGGATGGTATCCCGGGAGATCCTCTGCACATTTACGTTTGGGACTACGGGACGTTATCCTGGGAGATATCTCTGCTTACTAAGTTATTTCCTTTCTGAGATTTCATCTTTATTTGACTGTTAGCATCTTTAATTACACTGTTACGTTTTATACTGTTTTACCTTGTTATATTTATTACCAGTAGGCCCCTGAACTTCCTCGTCACTACTGGACCGAGGTTACGCTTGACACTCACTGGGTACTGCTGTGGTGTACTCATGCCCTTTCCTGTACATGTTTTCGTGTGCAGATCCAGGTTCTTCTACTAAGCCATAATATTCGTGAGGCCAGGCGACTCAGAGACTTCAAGGTATATCTGCCGCATCCGCAGACCTAGAAGTCCCTCTCTACTCTCCCTACTGTTATAGGCTTTTCCCTGTATTTTTCCCTTGTTATTAGATTTCTGAAGTTAGAAACCTTATGTATTCTCTTTAGCTTGTGATTCATGAGATTCCGGGTTTTGGGAGTGTTTTTGTTCAGTTTGAGAGAGTGATATTGTATATGCCGAGCGGCATTATAACCTCCTTTATTATTCTACCTGTTAGTTGGCTAGTTTCGCATCTTTAATTCTTTTTCTGCAAATTGTTAGCCTTACCTAGTCGTAGAGACTAGGTGCTGTCACGACAGTTCACGGAGGGAGAACTTGGGTCGTGACAAGTTGGTATCAGAGCTCTAGATTCATAGGAGTCATGAATCACAAGCCGTTTTATTAGAGTCTCGCGGATCGGTACAGAGACGTCTGTACTTATCTACGATAGGCTATGTAACTTTTTGGAAATTTCCACTTTATTTGATTTCCTTGTCATGCGAGATTTTTGATATCAAAATTCTAAACCTCTATCTTCTATTCTCTCACAGATGGTGAGGACACGAGCTACCGGTGATGACCAGGCACTCGCGCCCACTGCTAGAGCCACCAGAGGTCAGGGCCGGGGTAGAGGCCGAGGACGCGCACGTGGTGCAGCCAGAGCACCCGCGCGAGCTGCTACTGAGGAGCCACCAATAGCTTCAGCAGGAGCCCAGGCGCCTGATACACCTACTGCTACTACTATTCCAGCTCTCCAGGAGACCCTTTCCCAGTTCATGAGCATGTAAACCACTTTAGCCCAGGCAGGGTTGATTCCCCTTGCTGCAGCTACATCTTAGGCCGGGGGAGGAGCACAGACTCCCGCCGCCCGCACTCCTGAGCAGCGAGTGCATGTTGATCAGGTCGCAAAGATTATACCAATACTGCTTGTGGCCCCAGTTCAGCCCGAGGATGGGGCAGTAGCTTCAAAGGAGGAGCAGTGGAGGCTTGAGAGGTTCAAGAAGTACCAGCCTCCTACATTCAATGGTCTAGCATCGGAGGATGCTCAGGGATTTTTGGAGGAGTGCCACCGTATCCTCCGCACTATGGGTATATCAGGATCGAGTGGGGTTTCTTTCACTGCCTTTTAGCTTCGAGGAGCAGCCTATCAGTGGTGGCGTACTTTTGAGTTGGACAGTCCGGCTGAGGCACCTTCCCTTACATGGGCTCAGTTTTCAGATATGTTCTTGAGAGAATATGTCCCTCAGAGCCTTAGGGATGCATTGCGCGTGGAGTTCGAGCATTTGCGCCAGGGTTATATGACTGTTTCAGAGTATGCTGTCCATTTCAGTGACTTGGCTAGGCATGCACCGGCCTTGGTTTCTACGGTTCGTGAGAGAGTTCGCCGGTTTATTGAGGGGATTATTCCCAACATCAGATCTAGCGTGGCCCGGGAGTTGGAGATGGATATTGCTTATCAGCAGGTGGTGAGCATTGCTAGGAGAGTAGAGGGAATGTATGCTCGGGATAGAGAGGAGAGAGAGAGGCCAAGAGGTCTCGAGAGTCGGGCTATTATTCTGGTGCCCGTGCCCCAGCTGCAATTCGTCATGGTAAGGGTTATATGAGCAGCCCCGTTCATTCAGCTCTTCCAGCAGCCAGTGGTATTCCAGCTCCTTCTAGACCTCAGGAGCCTTATTATGCACCTCCAGTATCTAATACGCCTCCTGCACGGGGTGCTTTCAGTGGTTAGTCCAGCAGACCTGGCCCGAGACAGTCACAGTTGCCACGTCCTCCTAGAGCTTGTTTTGAGTGTGGCGACACCCGCCATATGGTGAAGGATTGCCCCAGACTTAGGAGGGGTGTACCTCTGCAGACTTCTCAGCCACCGCGTGCTCCTTAGAGTTCCCAGGCTATGATTACAGCACCAGTTTCTACCCCACCTGCCTAGCCAGCTAGAGGTGGAGGTCGGGGAGGCAGAGGTCGCCCTAGAAGGGGAGGCCAGGCCAGATACTATGCCTTCCTGCCCGTACTGAGGCTGTTGCCTCCGATTCTGTCATCACAGGTATTGTTCCGGTCTGTTATAGAGATGCATCAGTTCTATTCGATCCAGGTTCCACTTATTCTTATGTGTCCTCTTATTTTGCCTCGCATTTGGGCATATCTCGGGATTCTTTGAGTTCCCCAGTTTATGTTTCTACTCATGTGGGAGATTTTCTCATTGTGGACCGCGTTTATCGATCGTTTTTGATTGCTCTTAGTGGTTTTGAGATCCGAGCCAATTTGTTATTAGTCAGCACGGTAGATTTTGATGTTATCTTGGCCATGGACTGGTTGTCTCCCCATTATGCTATTCTTGATTGTCACGCCAAAACCGTGACGCTGGCTATGCCAGGTGTACCGTGAGTTGAGTGGAGGGGTACCTTAGATCGCACTTCCAGTAGAGTTATTTCATTTCTTAAAGCTCAACGAATTGTTGAGAAGGGTTGTGACGCATATCTAGCTTATGTGAGAGATGCCAGTATTGATACCTCTACAGTTGATTCAGTCCCAGTAGTACGAGATTTCTCTGATGTGTTTCCAGCTGATCTTCCGGGCATGTCGCTCGACAGAGATATTGATTTTGGCATTGATCTGTTGCTGGGCACTCAGCCCATTTCTATTCCTCCTTACCGTATGGCTCCTCTTGAGTTGAAGGAGTTGAAGGAGCAGTTATAGGAATTGCTTGATAAGGGTTTTATTCGGCCCAGTGTGTCACCGTGGGGTGCTCCTGTCTTGTTTGTGAAGAAGAAGGATGG